CATGAATGATTAGAATTTTTTGCAATTAGTATTTCTGGAACTAAGAATTAATGCCATAATCTGTATTTTTTAGCAAGCATTAATTTTCTATGTTATAGAATGGAACAAATAAAAATGCATTTAACTACTGCAAGGGAAATGTTACAGTGAAAGGTGATTTTGTGAACTACAGGTCAGAAAAAGGCCAGAGAAAGGTAAGAGAAAAGTAAGCACTTTTAATATTGGCTGATGGTTAACTCCAACATATGATAGGCCATATGTGAAAAAAAAAAACCAAAAAAGAGAGGATAGTGAAATTACACTTCCTTCAAAATAAGTTTTTATGTGAAAACAAACCATGTAATTTATAGTTGGAATTCCAAAGCCAAAAGATGAAAAGAAATCTCACTAGTTGTTAATAAATGGCTCTTCACAGCCTTAAAAGAACCCAACCAACCAACCCAAAACCTAGAAAGCATGATAGACTAGTCTGGATGTACAGAAAGCATTCAGACACTATAATATACAGAAAAAGAAAAAGTTAATTAAAAGTTCTGAATAAGAAACCTGCTGACCTGTTAGCCTATATGAAATAAACTGTAATGCCAATGAATCACTTTGAACACTTTCTGTGTTTTGTCTAGAAGCTTCATGTGAAGTAATTCTACTTCAAATAACATGGTGTCCTGGTTACAAACTACAATTTATTCATTAGAACGTTTAAAGTGTTTATCAAAATACTTCAGAAAAACCCCCTTGAAATAGTATTAATTAAAAGACTTAAAAAGAAGGGGTGAGAAGGGATTAAAAAATACTACTTTAGGATAAGAGAGGGAAATAATTTGTTCATATAACTTGACTTCTACTGTGAACAAATAAATAACCAGCTGAGAAAATGTTACTGAATTTGGAACAAACACATTTATTTTTTTTGGCAGATAAGAAGAAAGGTTTAGAGACCTAATCTGTATTTCTCATTTTTAAATTGTCTAAATTACCTACTGTCTCCATCAGAAATTCCATTTCTGAGTTCTGCACAAATAAAGCACCTCTAGTCATGCTGGGGCCCATACTTCTTCTTCTTGTCTGGGATTCAAATCTTGGGTGTCCCTTCTGTTCTGCATAAACCTACCTGTGAAGCAGAGCAATTTTGTGACATGAGCTGGCTTGCTTAAGCCAAAGATGGGCAAGATGTACAAGATATACTATTATATTAATATGAAACATTCTTTTTCTGTTATGAAAATTGGACATTTCAAACTGATAGAGAATCATATAAGATAACATACTGGGAAATAAAGCAATCTGGGATAAAAAAATCCATATATATTCAGTGCAGAAATCAAAGAATGTGTTTTTTATATATACAGACTTATCAGTGAAAATTTCAAAAACTAATAAAACTTCTCAGATTCTCATCATCTTGTGAGGAAATTGAAGATGGACCTATTGATAAAAAGGTGAAGCAGGTGGAAATCTGTCTTCTAATACAGTCACATTTCTACTGTAACTGCTTTCTGAGTAGGAAACCAGAAATCAGTGACAGTACTGAAACAGGAGGTTGTAAAGACAAGAAACAGCTTGCAAATACTGGTGATTTAGTGGATATCTTAATTTCTGGGAGCAAAAGTTGGATTTGCTTTGTCCTATCTGACAGTAACTTTTTTTGAGTAACAATGCAGAAAAGTATTTAATTGAAGCTTGCATTCATTACTACCATTTAATTTTTATTGTATGTGGAAGATGCCATCAATATTGAAAGAAGATTTACTAGTGTTGGAGTCTGACTCAGAGTGTGTGTGCTTGTTTCTGATACCTGAGATCCAGAAAAACATTGAATTTCATACAATATGAAATTTATGAGCATGTTTTCCTGGTGTTACATGAAAACAACTGTTAAAGTTAGATAGAAAAGCTAAAAGTGTGAGTGTGTAGATTAGAGAGTTTTCTTAAGTCACTGGGTGAAAAAGTTAAAGTTTAGAGTTTAAAACAGTTTGGAAAGCAGAAGGCAAGATGGAGGGTTTAGAATGTTGTTTCTTTTCCTTCTTCTTTCTTCTTCATGTTCTTCTAGAGGTTTTTAGGTAATAGTAGGTGATTGGATAGAAAATGCAGCAGTGCAACACACAGGTGTTGGGTCACTGGGTCATTAAGAAAAACAATATATGTGTCTATTGTTAATTGGATAAGAATGAGTATGAGTATAAAGATAAAAGAACTGCATAGTTTGGGGCCATTTTGAGCTTTCATAGCCAAAGTGAGCCACAAGGCCATTCTGTACCATCAGAGAGAAATGAGACAGATTTCAGTGAACTGAACTTGTGCAGATAGTCTGGAGAGACCTGCCAAGTTTTGTGATAACATCCTAATAAACACGAGAAACAAGATCCTAACAGGCTGTGGAGTTTTTGTCCTGACCCAGAGGCCTGTGATAAGCGGGATTCCCTGTGAGGGAATATCCCCAAAGAGCTCAGCTCAGAGGAGACAGAAATCCAAGAGTAAAAATAAAAGTGCAGAAGAAGTGCAGCAGAATAGAGAGAAAAAAGAAACAAAAAAGAATTTTTAAAAAAAGTTACAGCTGGAAATAATGAAGTCAAAGTGGACATGGATCTGGGCCAAGACAAGACCATGTGGTGGGCAGGGCGAGGTAATCCACAGAACTGCCAGATAGGGAAGGATAGATCTTACCTGGCACCTATATCTCTTGGAAGCTGGTAAAATTATAGCATTCAGCATTGGGTTAGACTATGAAAAATTAGATATGAGGGCTAATAAGTTGCTTTGTGTGTGTACAGTACAGCAGAGCCATTTCATTTTCAAAAAAAAAGAGCATCTAAATAGATGGAATTTTAAGTACAAATAGGAAGATTGTTATACTGTACATGGTTATTTAATTCAATTATATTGTGTGTAGTGTTTCTTATAGTAAACTGCCATGTTGTTTTGTTTTCCTTCATTCTTACAGCTGCTGGTATAACTCACAAGTTGTTTGGTGGGTCATTATATATAATATACTTTGACGGGGTCACACAAATATTTAACTTAAATTTTATATCCCAAGATAGTCTGTCTAAATTTCCATTTGATATTCCATAGAACACTTAACACCTTTTTTGTCTGCTTTTGCTGCTTTTGCCATAGACAGTTTCCTGTAGGTTTATTTTCCATAAAGTAGACAAGAAATTTGAAGTTGGTAGGACATAGTGGAGGCTGAATTTAGGGTATATTATATTAGTGTATCTTATATATACATACATATATATATATATATGTGTGTATATATATATAAGCATCTATTATATTTAGGGTATATATATTAGCATATATAATTATGCTTTAGTCTTTACCAACCCCAACTTATTAAATTCCTCAGAGTCTCATAAATAATGCCAGGTTATTTAACAAGGCATCATCCAATGATGAAAGAACATAGCCTGATGTATTTATACTCTTCTTAGGCTGGGGTTTCTAATTCAAACATTCATCACTTGCTCCCCAAAGGGAACCTTGCCATATCAAATACCATAAGAGATAATTAGCTGTGATAATTAGGTATGCTCTCAAACATTTTTTCTGTTAAGTCCCAATTAAATGGCCTGTTTTGATTTTATATCCTTTCTGTCTGAAAAGAAAATATTCCACCGTCCTGGCTGTGCAATTGGCCATATGTCTCTTTTGCCACAGAACTGGAGTCTCCTTCCAGTAGCAGATTGGGCAAACATGGAAAAAAACCCACCCATTATACTCAAAAGCTTTTGGTATCTGGTTGAGGAGATCATAACCATCCAGATCCAAGAGCCAAATTGTATCTTCCCTCCCCACAAACCACATTAAGTTTGCACATTCTCCCCACGAGATGTGAGTGGCAGCAACTGGACAGCTGGTGCAGATTTCCTTTCTTTTTACCCTGTACTTTCGAGGGGTTGGACTGGTGTTCTGGTCAGGTTCCAAAAATGTAAGCTGGTTTGTGGGCTGGTGTGCTGCTGCTGCTTGCTCAGAGATGTAAGCTTCCATCTGAGCCATGACAATTTCGTTCTGATCTCTGTACAGGCCTTTCTCCAAACAATTGTGTTCTCCTGAGAAAAACTCTCTGTTATTTGTGAGAGCCAGATTTCAAATAGCCAGCTGGCTGCCACTCCACAGGTTTGTAGCTCTTTTCTACATTGTATTTTCCTTAATAAATCCTGATTCTAGGCTGTAATGAAAATCAGTGAATTTCATGGGTAAAATGAAGGTGAATCTGTAGGTTTCAATTATTTTTTAATTATTATGTATGTATATATTTACACACACATATATATAATTAAAGCTACAAATGGAAATCTTGAGAATTTAG